CACGATAGCGAAACTTGGGTAGAGGAGCTCAGATATGAAACTAAGGGCTATGCGAAAGAGGATAAACGAAGTAAGCAAAAGAAATTACTGAAGCCCTCCTTTTTGCCATACTAAGCATTGAAAGCGAGGAAGCACATAGACGAGCGAGATCGATATTCCTTGTGCAGCTCTTGCGATGGGAGGGGGGGGGGTGGAAATGATCCGCGTCACAGCGGCATCGAGTCGTTAGCCCCTAACGCCCTGCCATGTATTCTCGAATCAAAGTGGCAAAAACTGATAAAGTGAAAGCGGTGGAGGGAAAACTCCATAGTTACGAATCTACCCACTTTATACGCTCGATATCCCGACGATGGAGAGGGCGTGGCCGCGTACTCCATCCGATTGTGGGGTTGTAGGGCGGTTGCGCTTCTAGAGGGATCTTTTTGCTTTGGGAGTTGTAATCATACCTTTAATCAGAACAAGACAGCATGGCATTGTCTCCCTAATGGAAACATCCCACGAGAAACGTATCCTACGGGCATGCTCAAACGGAGTACTCAGCCACGCCCACCCATCTCTTGGATAAGGAGTGTACATGGAAGGATCGGATCGGCGTTGTTCGGCCTAGAGGCGAAGGGGGTGCGGGGATTTCGCAGTTTCTTTTGCTAGTTTCTGTTATATTACCTGCCTCACCTTAGTGAAGGCCTGTAGCCTGCGAACTCTTGTCAAGAGAAAGAAGCTCGCCCAGTTTTACAGGACTCTACAAGTCTCCACAGGAGTGATTGACTGGAACCAGCAAGTGCACCCACCAAGCCGAACTCCGCCATTGAATCCTTCAAAGAATCGTTGACTCTGCCTTCAAATTGGGATAGCACAGAAAGAAAAACGGCGCAGAGGAGCTGAGCTGAGCTCTAGGAAATGGATAGAAAAGCCAGCTGCAATCTTTTCTAGAGAAAAGTTATCACAGGAGCTAGGAAGCGCTTAAAAATGACTACGGCAGTTCGAACGCGGGTGTAACAGCAGTCACTGTCGAGGTAAAGGCGCTGACCGCAGGTGTCATGCCATGTTAGGAGAAAGCAGTGGAGGAAGACAGCAGATACACAAGGAGATAAGGGCAAAATTTGGTTTGGAATGCCGAGATACATTACCCAAAAGCTCAGTATGGTGTTACACACTACACAACAGAGGTATTTTGTTTCTGTGCATTTCTACTTGCACTTTCGAAGATTCTGAGTAATTCAAAAGCATGGCGCATCTCAAGAATCTCCGTCAGCGCTCCAGTTTCTACGGAAACATGTAACACTTTTAAGAAATTTCTGATGCCCTCTATGTAAAGCCAATAGATGCCTGACGTTTGAGACAACTCGTGACAATTAGCTCAAAAGTCCCTGATCTTCTTTGATATACCACTAATACATAAACTACCTTGTTACCAGCAGAAATAGCTAGTTTTTGCTGGAAGACACATTCCGCAATAATCAGATGGGCGGAGATGTGGGCGGGGCCTGATGGCCATTATGCCTCCCTCCCGATGCTCCCGTTGTTATCAGGGACGCTTAAATTAGGGAGGCACAGTGGCTATGAGTCACCGCCTATCCTATTGATGCTAAGTGTTTCTTCTAACAAAAGCTGCTTCTCTCTGCTAAGGAATAGTGCACGGAAACTGGATGCCTTTTCGTCACTCAAAACGAAGGGGCGGAGCCAAAGCTCGTTCTGGGAGTGTGTTTAGGCCTGTAGGCGGTGTGAGTTTAGACATTTTCTGTAGGTCTCCATTCATAAAACATCCATTCCGCGATAATCGAATGAGAAATGCGCAGTGACGCCAATCGCTTTGCCTTCTTTGCTAGTGTATTCCTCCTCTCAAAGGACGAAGAGGATCACACTAATGAGGATGGCAAAGTTGTTCATATCGGGTTCCACGTCTCGTCCCCTCTTATTATCAGCTAATGTCTTCACAATTCTTCTATAAAAACGTAAGTTCCAGATCCCTTCTTCGTCTTCGTAGGGCACGGATGTACTGTTCGACTTGGGAAGGGCATTTCGTCTTTACGCCACTTTCTTTGCTCCTGTCCTGTTGAATTACACGTCTCATTTTGGTAAAACCTGAAAACTCTTGCCAAGAGTAAACGAAGCTCCTGCCATTGGCAGATCGTTACGGAAATTTACAAGTTTTCACAGGAGGTATCGGTAGAAATCGATGGGAACCCCAGAATGCCCCCACCCAGCCGAACAGCGTCAGCACGGGCAGTCACTTTCAGAACTATGGGTTTGAGGATCTAGACACACAGTTTTCGAGCACAATGTTTTCGGTAGTACGATGTCAAAATCTCCATCAGTTAGGGAACAGAACTCGATTATCAGACATGAATGATGTTAGCAAGAAGAGCAATCACACCAACTTTTTGTACAAAGTCCCAGCAACATTATTAGTTCACTTCAAATCTTTTTACTTCCACAGAAGTGTCTTCTTTATTAAAACGCTTACATACCTGACAAACGAAACATTCGGGATGCCAATGAGTGCCCAGCGCCGTGATAAAGTTACTGGTGATTGGATTCTGGCAACCGTTGCATTTCGGTGCGAAAAGTCGGAAGAAATCACGACGGCAGTATGTTTGGCCATCCTGGAAACGATAAATGAAGATGTAGGAGGTAGCTGCAGATAGAATTGCTACTGTACTCAATTTTGGGCGCCGATGATGTTGGGGAGGGGCCACTCAAAGGAGATTGCAACCTTGGATTACAGCAGTGACGAAGACTGTTACCCAAGCTTGAATGAGAGGGAGATTCTGGGTAAGCGAACCAATTTCAAGTTCAGTAATCCCATATTATTAGAGTTACCCCGCTTCGCAATAGTCCTTCAAATGCTCCCTCCCCAATGTTTAAGCCAAGTTTCAGTTTTTCAATGAACAATGAGCATTTTCGAGGACGCTATGGCGCCAATTGCTCTTGTTTAATACACGCCCTAATGAGCAGGCTTGGAAGCGTTTTTACAGCTTTTTGTAGAGCACGCCCTCTCTGTGGAGTTCGGCCAACTGAGGCTTCACAGTAAAACAAGAGAGAAATTACGTAAAGCGCAGGTACTATTAAAAGACCAACGGGTCGGCAACCCCATGCAAAATCAAAAAAAAAGTTTGAATAAAATAGGTCGCAGATGCAGAGATTACCCTACACTGCGAAAGCTGCTCGCCATGCGCTATGAATTGCGCGTCCTTGTTAAGATCCTCATGTGACGGCTCTTCGCGTTAGAAAAACTCGTCTAGACCACTGAACTTGAGTAACGTAGTAGTTGACAGTTCTTCGCCTTTAGCTCAGCTTCAGTACTTTCCTTTTTAAGCAGGGACCTTTCAATGACGAGTGGCAGAAAAGCAAAATTCCATCTGATCGACGAGTTGTCTTCTTCAGGGACGCGATATATTGAACATGGGAAGCCAGAGGCAATTTGATGTGGCACCACACTTCCTTTCAGCAGCAAACTTAGATTTCTGTTCTATAAAACTCTCTACTGGTGCAGTTTGACGACGGGGAGGGGGCATTTTGCACTTCCGCCACACTTCCAATCGACGTGTCGATTCTATCTAGCCAGCTCTCTTCTCGAACAGGTTTTACCATGCGTAGCTTGCACAGCTCACAAGATTCACGAGCTTCGGCAAGGTGGAGACTTGTAAACCGGAACTAGGGAATCAATGATAGTACAAAATGCCCCCCGTCGCCAACTGCGCTCTCTCGACCCTTTCTTATTACTATTGATGATAACTAACGTATTCACTCCTACTGTAACTAGCCCCATTTGCTCGATTATAATAGCGTGACATTTGTTAGCTATTATGTGCCTCCACTAATATTCTTCACAAAATCCCAATTATAATTCGACATGCAAAGTACTTAGCCGTTTATGGCACGCACATTACGGTGCCACACTAATGTGATGCACAGGCCTTAAGAATACATTGCCGTGACATACATCAAATACATCGTCATGACGTACACCGCAGATCGATTAATAATTTCAACTGTAATGGCAACTAATATGGCTGTTTCCAATATTGTTATCAAATTAGTGTAATCAATAAGCAAGAGGAAGTGTTCAAACATGTGTACTGCACGCCAGTGCACCAGTTACGCGTCGTCCTGTTGGTGCTTAGACCATCCAAGTACATCGCCGTGACATACACTACCGACTAGGCTGCAACGCGTACAAAAACCAACAAAATCAATGAAACAAACCTTTTCATGGAATCCATCGTCACCGAATTCCCGTCCACATTCAGAACAAGTGAAGCATTGTAGGTGGAAGTTCTTTCCTAGTGCCGTTACGCAACGCTAAAACTCGTCGAATGACTTCTCAAAGCTCAAACATTCAGCGGAAATTCACTTACATCCTTGATCGGACCATTACATCCAGCACACCTCGGGCTGAACTGGTTGTGGTAGTCCTCTTCGCAGTACGCACGCCCATTCCTGAACAAAAAGGTTAGCCATACCACTGAGCAGTCAGCTAGTCACATCCTACCTCTCAAAGAAATTCCTGTGACCCAGTTCCGATCCACATTCACAGCAGGTGTAGTGCTCGGGATGCCACATTTTTCCCAGCGCAATCACAACCTGAAGGTTATAGGAGTACAGAAAAAGAAATTCGATAAAGCTCCACAATTTGTAGCTAGCTAGGCCAAAAATTTGACCCTTCCGGTCACCATCACACCCCTGCCCTCCTTTTGTTCCGCCATTCCGTAAGCACACGGCCCACACTAAACTTTCACCCCGGTAACCGTTCTGAATCAGTATGATATTGGGTTTTTATCAACAATTATCAAGCACAGGGACAACTCGTCCACAAAAGTGTAACTCGTCCAACCTGTCCGATGATCGGTTTGCCGCATTGTCCGCAGTCGCCCTTTGGAATCGTCGAGATACCATGCTTACTGCTATAGTCAGTGTTCAGCGTGCCAATCATCGAGTCCGCATGCGACGGGTCACGAGACGGTGAGCGGCCGCCATGCTAAAAATTAATCGATAAATCGATGATCGATCTGCTGCGAGCTTTTCTTGGATGACGTCATCAGAAGAAGAAACTGTCTTTAACACGGCAGAAACAGCTTTCAGAAAAAAGGTCCGTTTCAGGAAAAGCAGAAGGAGTAAGATAATAGGTAATTAACAGATAATAGGTAAAAGAAATAACAATTCAATAATAAATGTAATGAGCAAAATAAAGTAGTATAAATTGTAGTTAATGATCGAGAACTTCTACGACCCATTTTCCATTAGGTGCTCACTGACTAGCCATTTGTGGGAAACTCCGCCCATTTCACCTGTGAATGACCCAGTGTCCATTTGAAGCAACCAAAAATTCGATTGAGATTCCTCTTTCACAAGGAGAGACAAAACCACTCGTTTATCCCCAGCTTGGTGACACTTCTTCAGTGGTTTAGGCCTCGGGTTTCCAATCAACAGCTGTAGTAGCCACGCATCCAAACCTGCACGATTGGGGCTGGGAATAGAGGGAATGATATTACGACTCCGTCTTTCTAAAAAAAAACTGCTCATGCAATCTGTCCACTGGTGGTGTCTGGATCTACCAGGAAAAAATCGTTGAAAGACCCGTTTTTGTATGTTCTATGGCTTTGTTAGCGTCCATGTTCTTGCAGGTTGTTCCATGGGCTCTTTCTCTCGCTGTTCTGTAGAGAAATGCTTCCTGTGGCTGACGTCGATTGGCAAACAACAGCCCACGCCACATGCTCTCAACGTCAAACAATTCGACGATTTCGTTAAACGGCGCTTCACTTGCGCCACCGCCGAAATTACGTTCGCTCAGCGAAAAAAATAAACGCATGAAAAATCGATTGCCCGGATTATCGCAAGGGGTCAGGCTCTACAAAAAGCGAAAAATGCTGAGCGAAATTCTGAACACAAAAGGAACTGTTGAAAACAGAGGCATACCAGAAGTGATATCTAGGAGATGCCCAGAAGACCAAAGGTAAAAAAGATGGCAAACATCACGAGCAGGGACATTTCTACCCTTAGATTTCTTGAGACAACTCCCTACAAGGAAATTCCCGCCACCACTCTCGACTACTCTACTTCGAGTTGGGTACTCCTGTGGGTCCTCTTCTTGAAGGCACATTTCACCTGATAAGAAGGACGAAGACAGGCTATTTCTTTCTCATTGCCGCCCCCCCCTCCTTTTTTACGTTCTGAGGGGAACATAAAGAGGAAGGGAAAACAGTACGGTCCGTCCCAACTCGAAACGTCATGTGACTACTAGGTTTTTCCCACCATTGCCGCCGTGCGGGGGTGTGTACGTCTGACTGCCATCATCTTTCGTGGCCCCTCTGCCAATAATCTAGAGCGACTAGTTAGTGCACGAATGACTGCGTGGGCGGTGTTTATCAAGCAGGGCTGTTGGTATATTTTATTGCTGCGCCCTTCATTCTGGGCTGGCAAAGAGAGGGGGGCGCACAAATGAGGGAAACCCAGTCGATGAATAACCCCACCGATCGGGTGCCTTAACCAGAGCAGGCTGCATCACTTCCAGAGTAAAGCGCGCCCTTGGGGAAAAAATTGAATGCGACATCCCTCCAAAGTTCTTCCTGGGTATGACCCCACCTCTTCCATGCTCCCCTATTCAACCTACTTTTCTGGAGTTCCTTCCAAAGAGTTTCCGCATACTACGAGAAAAGTTGCTGTCGAGCGGCGGGGAGTGTAAGGGGGAAGGAGGATATACTGCAAATGGAACCGGAAAAACCGAGGAAAACTGACAATCTAAAATTTTTCACGAAACAAGTAAGACCCCTTCCATTGGCAACCAAAACACGACCCCCTCGCTGAGATTCCCATCGTTCGACGTGCAATGTTCCAGAGGAATGGTAGTTCCTCATAGACGGCTGTTTCACCTTTTTGCCTTCTCGGTTGTTCTCAACCCCTTCTAAATCCCCTTCAAACCTCAGAAGAAATGTCTCTACCAACCCAACTGCTGATCGATGCGAAACCCGAAAACTTCGTTTTTCCAACCTTCCAACACTGCCCTCTCATCAGTCTTGTTACACTCTGCCCTCAAAACAACTCGGGTTACTCGTGAATGATGTTTTCGAGGTTATCTAGACGAGATACCGAGTCAAACAAGGGAATAGCTGTGTAGAGAAGGATATAGGAACAATGAGTAGAAGATTAGCAGACAATGACGATGGAAGGACTGGAGAAACGCTGTTCCATGGAACTTGACTT